TTGAGATAGTAAATATTTGTAATTATTATTATTTGTATAAAACAAATAATGAAAAACTGTATACAATTATATTTTTTTAAATCATCCCCTATTCATGTACCACCTCCAACATTTCTGTGTACCATATCCAATATCATAATGTATCTGATCTAGCATACACAAGTACAACAATATAACACTATGTACTACAATGTATCTGATCCAGCATACACAAGTACAACAATATAACACTATGTACTACAATGTATCTGATCAAGCATACACAAGTACAACAATATAACACTATGTACTACTTCCAACATATTCTTGTATTTCCTTCAGCATGCTCATGTACCAACTCTCACTTCTTCATATATCATCTTTATCTTCATGTACTACTTACATATTATCGTACCACATCCGAAACCCAATAATGTAGTTTTTCCCACCATCTTCATGTAATACCTTCAACGTTTCCTTGTACCACCTCCAGCATGTTCATGTACTGCCTCCATTTTCATGTACCACTTCCCACATCTTAGTGTACCATCTCCAACATTTTCATGTACCACCAGTTGAAAATCATTGGTCTACGTCACGAATATAAGAATAAACTTGTTTGTGGTATACCACACAAATATAAGTATCTGTAGACGTACAGACATATCGTACGTAGTATACTGGATAGCTCATGACCGGGGGAAATCATAGCACATCACGTAACAGTTACATCTGGACTCTGATTTTAAATCGAAAATGATCAAACCTCAGAGTTATTAATCTCTGCAAGAGCTCAATATCAAACGACAATGCTTACACGAAGGACTTGTCTTAGAATACATTTTTATGTGATTTTTCTGAACAATCTTTTGGCACAATCACTTCGAATGTCTTTACGTATCATAAATATTTCATTTCATTGTGAGGCTATAATCTACTAAAAAAAACACACACACACACATACAAGAGAACTGGACTTTTACATAAGAAATAACAATTTAAAAAATCAAGTTCTAGTAACGTATGTTGAAAAATCAAGAGAAGATTGAAATAATGATTCAGTATTTTTAGTATATTTGTTTGAAGCAATTAATAAAAAAGATATATTAGAAATATTTTGAAAATAGTTAGTATTTTACTACAGTGTTTTCTTTACGGCGTCGTGAATGTTAATAGATTCACTTATCTGATTATGTATTTCATATAAATGAAATCAAAGTTGACGTTCATGAAATTGAATCCATTACATTAGCCTAAATCCATTTCCTTAAAAGGATTTTTCCTAATAAACGAAGCAGTTGATTTCGTGAAAATAAAAAGTTAGTGCGAAACAGTTTGAGTGCAATCGGAGAGTTAATTTTATAATTTATGTTGAGTGTAAAAACTCGAACATTGGGCAGTCTCCTTAGTTTTAACGGTAGTTATTAAGAAAGGTGTTGTTGTTGAACATATTTGATGAATTTCCACGACCCATCTATTGTTATGAAACACACCGTCTGACTCCTTACGTTCTATCTGTTGTTATGAAACACACCGTCTGACAGACGGTGTGTTTCATAACAACAGACAGAACGTAAGGATTCAGACGGTGTGTTTCATAACAACAGACAGAACGTAAGGATTCAGACGGTGTGTTTCATAACAACAGACAGAACGTAAGGAGACTCCTTACGTTCTGTCTGTTGTTATGAAACACACCGTCTGACTCCTTACGTTCTATCTGTTGTTGCGGAGCACATCTGCTGATTACCTACGATTTATCTATTGTTGTGGAGCACATCTGCTGATTACCTACGATTTATCTATTGTTGTGGAGCACATCTGCTGATTACCTACGATTTATCTATTGTTGTGGAACACATCTGATAACGTTATACAATGTATTTATGATTGTTGTGGAACACTCATTATTACTTTCTGCGATCCATCTGTTGTAGTGGAACACACCTTCTTACTTCCAAAGATCCATGACAGTACGAAATCCATATTTTTAGTAGTTTCGAGTCCATAAAGCGGACTTCTGCATGAAAAGAATAACTGATTTGCTGTTATACTGATTTCACCAGGAGTAGTATAAATATATATACGAGATATATACAAAAAGAGACTAACCCTTATTGAGCTTAAGAAGTTAAGAATACCGTAGGGCAAAGAAGGACACCTAACAGAACTACTTTTAGTAGAATAAGGGTGGCAGGTATCGTGTTTAGACTAGTGCTAAGAAGAGTTATATATACATATAACTTAACCATAGGAACGGCAACTAGGTACTGGTATGTACTAACTACTTTGTAAATCAGAATGTTTACAGACAATGTTCATGACAACATTGAAAGAGGAGGGATATTCAGATGTTTAGAATTGGGGAAAGTATTTGAATAAAACTAAAAACTATTAAGTTTGTTTTGGACAGAACTAACGTTTTAAAAAAGTGAATCTATTGCGCACTATGTACAAAGAAAACTCTGTAGTAAATAGTGAACAAGAAGCAAGTTAAAATCTATCAGTCAAACCACTTGAAATATTTTGATACTTAGCAATATTGTAGCCTAACTGCAAGTACAATAAGTAGTATATTAAAGCTTCACAAGTAGAGTTGCAAAACGTTTCTTTTCTCGATCTGTGTCTAATTTGAAAGTGTTTCTTTATAAACCTATTGTTCTGTAGTAGTGGATCTCAATTTAATTTCAAACTGTAGACACTTAAGCTGTCAGTCTCTAGTTGAACAGCAACAAACTTGAACTAAAGTTACCATCTATTGTAGCTAATTATTCCGATGAATCAGAATTACAGTTGACATAAAATGTATGTAACGATATCAAAGTTTTAAATCCCCAAATTATACTACCAGTTTGTATTAGAGTTTAATGGACTGTTTGTAGAGTGGGACGACGTTTCGGTTTCTATAGATCTTTCCCTGCTTCAGTGTAGAAGCCGAAACGTCGTCTTAATCTACCAGAAACAGGCAGAAAGAGCCCACTAAACTCTTATATAGGAGGAGATCCATAAAAAAAAACGAAATGTCGTCCACTCTAGGTAGGAGCAGTCCATTAAACTCTGAGGTAGGAGGGGATTATAGAAACCGAAATGTCGTCCACTCTAGGTAGGAGCAGCCCATTAAACTCTGAGGTAGGAGGAGATTATAGAAACCGAAATGTCGTCCACTCTAGGTAGGAGCAGCCCATTAAACTCTGAGGTAGGAGAAGATTATAGAAACCGAAATGTCGTCCACTCTAGGTAGGAGCAGTCCATTAAACTCTGAGGTAGGAGAAGATTATAGAAACCGAAATGTCGTCCACTCTAGGTAGGAGCAGTCCATTAAACTCTGAGGTAGGAGGAGATTATAGAAACCGAAATGTCGTCCACTCTAGGTAGGAGCAGTCCATTAAACTCTGA